GCTACCAGATATACAGACAGGCTCGGTTCCACATTCACTACTGCGTATATCAAGCGCCAAGTATTAACTGCACATTTTTGTTCAGCTAGGAAGGAAGAGGGAGGGTATTTTTTTTTCTTTTTTTGGTTTGTTTTAAATCAGTGCATGATTTTTTTTCTCTTTTCAGCAGATGGACAAACAAATGGGCTTTACAGGTACACGGAATGTTAAGGGTAGAGGGGACAGCGTGAAGGATCGGCCGGCTCTTCCTGATTCTCTCCAGTGTAATGTCCATGCAACTTCCCTGCATTATTATAGGGTCTTGTGTCAACACGTCTGGGACCTTAGCTGGATGAGTACAGTAGGAGATCCAGTGATGGGTACTAACAAGCATTCTCGGGGCTGGCTGCATCACAGGGAGAAATTATGGATATTTCAGAATACTTTTTAGACTCAGGTCTTGGTGTGCCTGCAAAGCAATAATTGTGCTGAGAAGTGGAGGAAGACAGCTAGCTAGGAGGCTGGGAGTCCTCAACTCTCACCCGTGTGCTCGTCGACCTCTCTCCCCTCGCCAGGCCCCCCCCATCCCTGCCCATACAGTATTAAACAGTGAACTGAAGACAAAGAGGAGGAAAAGGGGGGGGGGTGTGTGAGAGTAAGGAGGCAGAAAGAAACATGGAAGAGACAAGAGAAAGCCAGTTTCCCCCCTGCATTTCCCCAAAAAGGACAGTGGGAAAGACAGTTTTGATTTCTAAATTTTAAAAGCCCCAAACTAGGAAGAACCCAAAGATTTGAGCCCTCCTGAAATAAAAGGCAGTTTCTGCACAACAATGTCATAAAGGAATTACCCATAAACAGATAAGGCCATTCATAAGATACATAGCTTCTTTTTTTTTTCTTTTTCTCATTAGATTGGTGGTAACAAGGAAAACAAATTCTACTATTAAAGCACAAGGTGCAAACTGATAACATATTGCTGTAGGAGAGGGGGTTTAGCCTCGTGTGTTAGAGCACTGGACCTTTTGATGGTGTCATAACCCAGCTATCTGCCACAGAGCATTTCTACCTTGGGCTTCGAGCTTCCTCAGAAGACACGAGCGTAAGTGGCCCACAGCCTCAACTGCTCAAGTAAGTGTCTACAAGCCCTAGACACAGGCAGAAGGACTGAGTTAACACAAATGCCAAATGAGGGGTGTCTCGCTCCAAGTCCCAGCGTCACAATATTAATCTCTATAACTTTCTGTACAACTTTACAACGGAATTGTAGTTCAATGACTATTTTGATATCAGATTAAACTTTCCAAAAAGTTACACATAATTCAGGTCTATTTTTTTTCCTACCATTAAGAGTTCTGCTCAGTTACAAAACCCCATAATCACAGTGTTCAGTTAAAAAAAAAAAAAGTTTTTTCAACACACGGTAATCCTGTCAATGTTAATCAAAATCAAAACTTCAGAATGCCGTGGCATTTATGTGACCAATCTGAGTTTTAGGTATAAATACCAGCTACTTATCCCATGGACCATTTTTGCTAGGCTGAGGCTGTGAAAAATTGAGAATCGACATACGATTCCTTTTTTTTTTTATCGCACAAAGGGATATATGTGGAAGGTACAGAGTGACACTGAACAGATCACGAAGCACGGTGGACATTAGTTCTCTCCCTCCCCAGCATCTGCTTCATCTCCCTGGTTTTCTGACGTCCACAGCTGCAAGAGAAAAAGAAAGATATTAACAAGCAAAGTAGGGCGACCAGAAAGCGATGGCACAAATGGAGGAGTGCTGCCGAAGAAGACTTGGGGAGGTGGCCCAGTCTGTACTGTCTTAACCTTATCTGTTCACAGTGATGACGGTCAAGTTTAAACTTCTGCTATCATGTTTCTAAGCTACTTAACAATTTAAAATTATACCTACACTTCACAGGGTACAAATACCCTCTAGAATCTGGGATTACTGGGAGCTACAGGAAAGAGACTAAACTGTCTGAAAGTAGCCCCGAAATCAGCCAGTACTTACAGTAAGATTGTCCCTAAGAAGCTGCATGATCAGGGTGCTGTCTTTGTAAGACTCTTCATTCAGTGTATCCAATTCAGCAATCGCCTCATCAAATGCCTAAAACGAAGATCACTTAGCAAAGAATTCACAGGTTCTCTGGAGCAAGCTTAACCTCATTTTCTCCTACTAACAAGTAAATGTTAATGTCTCTATCTGTAAAGTACTAGTGGGATATAAACAATCATGAAATTAAGCTAATTTATCATGAATGTTTATAAAGTCAACATTTAACAAAATTCCTAAATAAGTGCTTTGCTGGATGCAGCCTCTGAGCAGATTTAACTGTAGGCAAACTCGCCTATTCTTTAATTACTATTAAAGCACTGGATGTAAAGAAGAAAGTGACGCTCCTATTGCTAAATCTGATTTGACTAATGAACTTCTAAAAATAACACTGAAGACACCTTTCCCATTAAAAAAATTATTAACGAAACAACTGCCTACTTTGCCATGAGACCAGAAGAACTGGATGGTACCAGATGCCCTTACTGAACGTTCTGATCAAAGGTTCTAGAGAAGAATCTAGGTCAAAAGGAGGGAAATGAATAGAATCTCAAAATTCTGGTGGAGCCATGGAGGCTGCACGGCCACCCCAAAACTACTGCCCTGAGATAATGTTTAAAATTTAAAAGTAGCAGCACTTGAAATCTCAAAACCCAACAATAGTTTAAGTAGGAATGAAAGTATGCCTTGGATTTTGTGCTTTTTAAAGGATCAATCTACATGTGGTCAAAATGAGAAGAACTCAAATGTTGAAAAAATAGGTCAACAAAAAGTGGGGAAAACGTAGCCTGATTCCTTTCATTTACACAGGCAAGACTTCCAATCTTACTGCAAGGATGGTAACTGAGACCCACAGGCTGGCTTGGGCAAGAAACAGCCGCCTACCTTTACCCTGCACTGTTTAAACCTTCCCCTTTCCAAAAAAGAATCATCAGGCAAAAACAAAAACCAGCAGATACTGAATAAAAAAAACTCTAAAAAACAGATCTGTAAATGTATATATAACCCACTGTTGTCGAGTACCATTGAATCAGAACTGACCCATCGCTGACCTTCCAGCAGATTTTCACAGGCATGGGAGGAGACTGCACAGCCTTCTCCTGCAGAGCAGCTGGTGGATAAGAACAACATGCCTCCAGGGTTGTAGCACAGATTCTTACCACTAGGCCACCAGAGCTATCCTAAATATAATCTAAAAGATTTTTTTTTCTCTTAGAATTTTCTCTGTCTATATAACCTAAGATAAAATTCATTTAAGACCATACGTTATGTTCTGATTAGAAAGGTAAGGTCTTAGAAAGGACAAGCAAGCATTTGTTTTACTCAGACCAGACACCACAGGTAGGGCCTCTCTCACCGTTTTTGCCAGGCTGCAGGCCTTTTCGGGGGAATTGAGAATCTCGTAGTAAAAGACGGAGAAATTGAGTGCCAGGCCAAGGCGGATAGGGTGTGTAGGCTGCATTTCTTTCTTGCTAATTTCAAATGCTTCCTGGTAAGCCTGCTGGGAGTTGGATACAGTGGCTGTAAGAAAGATGAACAATGTTAAAGGCTGGCCTAATGAGTTTCATCGCATATCGCATCTGCTATCAGACTATCCAATTAAACATTCTTAAAATGCTTTTTCTAACTCAAGTGTTATATTAAATGCTTTTGAAGAAAATAAAGACAATTAAGACCAAGTCTATGAAAGCAGTTAAGAAATATAGAAATAACCTTTAACAAGACAGAATGTGAAAAACAGTATGTTCTAGGGGAAAGATCATGGGCTTTGGGGCCAACAGGCCTGAACTCAAAACTTAAATTCCCAACTCTTAATCACTAGGTTTATGGCTGGGAGCAAGTAAAAACCTCCGGGAGCCCTGTTTCTGGATCAGAAAATTAACAGGTTCTCAGCTAAACCACAGGGCTGTGTGAGAACAAAGGAGACTCTACTTGGGACATAAAAAAACCCACTGTCATCAAAGGAATTCAACTCCCAGTAACCCTCCACTGGGCTCCAGAAGCTGTAAATCCTAATGGGAGATGGCAGCTTCTCCTTCCACAGAATGGCTTGTGCATTTAAACTGTCACATCTGTCAGCTGGCCGCCCACCATTTCACCTACTATACCCAAAGCACCTTCATTTGCACATTGTTGTTATGTGCCCTCGAGCTGCTTGCGACTCATAGCGACCCTATGGACAACCTTAAACTCTGTTCTGTCCTGTGCCAATCTCATTGTCTCCAACACTCATCCTGATTTGGGCACTTAATAAGGGGGGAGGGGCGTCTGGTGGCCTAGTGGGAAGGAGTTGTGCTGCCAAGCCAAAGAAAAGTAGGTTGAATCCACCAGCTGCTCCAGAGGAGAAATGGGTAATCTCCTCCCCCACGGGATTTCTAGCCTCTGAGAACCCAGCGGAGGGTCAGTTAGGAGGGAGTTCCCAGTCAAGCACATCATTCATGTTGGTAACTTTATACCATTACACACAATGTTTCACCTCTGGAAAGACAACTACCAAATAATCCTCAAGGTAAACCACAGCAAGGTTAAATCAGTCAATGGGAGAAGATTCAGAACACAGAAAAATGTCTCATAACAGGAGAGATATAATCAGTGGCAGTGAGTAATACCCATACTGTTGAATTAATGTATGTTTCACTGTGTATGTTTTCAACAAAAGAGAACTATCTTAAATGTGTCACTACACCAGACCTTTTTATTAATACCCCTATTTACCTCTCAGAAACTCTACTTTCCAAACCTCACAACCTGATCATTACAGGTCAGCACACACTGTGTTTTGTACACTTCTGAGGACTATGCTTGCTAGCGGCTATGGTAAGGGGACAAAAGCAAAACTGGTAAAAGTCACCAGGAAGGAGAAGTGGCCCACTACTGGCCACATGTCCTTTAAAGATGGTACTTACTTTGTTTATTATCTCCAGATGCCACCTCAGAGAGATATCTAAAATAATCTCCTTTCATTTTCAAGTAGAACACCTTGCTTTCTGGTTGTGTGGCATTAAGAATAAGATATTTGTCCAACAGCTCCTAAAAAAGTGATTCATATTCTGTTAGGGATTTGGAAATCTTGTCATTGAAAAAAATCATTACGTTTCTAAGATTAAAAAAACACACACTATAACTTCTAAATTCAAACAAACAAGCACGTAATCTTCAATCCAAAGCTTTTTTAATGCTGTTTAACCCAGGTCATGATAACATATGCTTGAATCCTTCTGTTAAAAATAATTTTCAAATAATAATAATAATAATAATAATTTTCATCATCCGTAAGAAGTCGATTAAAATACAGCCACACAATGTGAGCCTTGAAAATGACAATGCAGAACCACACAGAAAGGCTCTCACAAGAAAGCCCGGGGTGGGGTGAGCAAGAATAAATGCCACATGCACACTATTTAATATTCAGTACTTGGTCATGGAACATACAGACACCATGATGCTAACAATGGTTCTCTGGGTATTAGGATTAGAAACTTTTTTTTTTTACTTATTTATACTCTTCATCTGGAGCTTGCAAAACCTTTATTTTTTAAATGGATTTTTATTATTTCTGTATCTAGAAGGGGGGTAAACTCGATTTCTACCTTGGACAGAATAAAAAATAAAGCAAAACTGCCAAGACTTAAACTTAGATTCAAAAAGACCTGGGGGTTCAAACCCTTCCTGTGACCCTGGGTGACCCTGTACAAATGAGGACGTTACCCTGAGCCTTTGCCCCCTCGGCTCTGCAGGGAAGAGCTGAACAGCCATTTCCTAGGAGAGTTATGGGGATAAATGAGCTAACATACAAACAGTGCTTAAAAGGCGCTGAGCACGTAATAAGCACTCAAAAAGAGTAGCTATAATTATTAATAATAAATGCCTTTAAACATTTATGCTTACAACAAAAGGAGTTCTGAAGGAGTCCAAGCTTCGTATACAGAGCAATATTTTTGAAGAGTTGGTTTAGAATGTGGCATCCTGAAAAACTGCGTAAGAGGCTGGAAGTGCCAGGCTCTTCTTCCCATTCCTTCAGGTGCTCTTAAAAGCTGGTTTAGATTTCAGGAACTATGGAACTCTCTTGCCCTTGAAATGCAAGCCATACTTCATCTGAATACCAGATGTACCTAGCATTCAGGAATTAGTGCACCATTAACAAACCCCCAAATAGCCAATAGGAAACAAGTTTAGCCATGACATTCTTACAACATGAAATGAATAAAAGGAAAAGCTCAAGGCAAAAGCTGGGTTACAGGGGATTTAATCAATTACAGCAAGAAGACACAGCGGGCAGAAGTCATGTCAACACTTTCTGCTGACAGGAACTCCTTGTGCGTTAGGGGTAAGGAGCCCAGCCTGGGTGCCTGATAAGCGTGTGCTGGTTTTCCTAAGAAAAGTATAATGGGCGGTAATTCCGAGAGGCAGCCAGCCAGGGTAGATGGATCCCTAAGTGTGAATTCCTTTTCCCTGCAAAGCAGCCCTTACCGTTCATTCATTTTTACCTGATTTCACCTGGAAGAAAAAAAAATTCCCAGTGGGCTCAGGGTGTAAAGGAAAGATCATGATCTGTTGTGGAATATGCACTCTTCCCATTTAACCCGACAGTGGCCAGACGGGAAGCAGTTAGAAATCACACCTTCTGACCAACGCATGTATAAACACTAAAAGAACCCTGCAAACCCACTGCCATCAAGTCAATCCCGACTCAAATCGGGTTCCTGAGGCTGTAAATTTTAACAAGAGGAGACTGCCCATCTTTCTCCCATGGAGTTGCTGCTGGTGGATTTGAAACATCAGACACATTCGGCCTTTGGGTTAGCAGCACAACTTACCACCAGACTTCCTACAGAAAATCCAAGACAGTGGAATCCTCCAATTCTTTGGAATTGGGATGCATGCCCCAAGAATAGGCCCAGTTTTCCAGCAAAAGAGGGCTTTACCGTGTCAAAGTACAGCTGTCTGAGGCTTGAATGCAGTTCAGCTTCTTGATCCTGCCTCCCCTTCTGGAGATGACATCACTTAGACTAGCACTCAGAAGAGCCTGTCTGGACTGCATCGATCCAAAACCCCACCTGTCTGATCTCAACTTCTACAAAGATGGAGGGACACTGACTACTACATGGTCCTGTTTCTGTTTCTCTCAGATCTCTCTGCTGGGAGAGAATAACCCTTAAGTGATAAGCAAGCAGGAGGTGAGAAAATCACATCCTATGTTTAAAAATTAGCTGCAAACAGCCTACGGCTTTCCAGTATATGCAGACACTGCCACCTCTTTCTCTCCCCTAAGCTGTTTGAGAATTTGCATTTGTCATTAAATGAATACTGTTTAGAAAGCATTCTTGCAAACAGAACCATGCTTCTTACCAGAACATCATTGCAGATGTCCTGCAGTTCCGCCTCGATCTTCTCACGGTATTCCTTGCCCATCTGCTGCTTCTTCTCGTTCCTCTCTGTCTTCTGCTCTATGCTGGAGATGACTCGCCAGGAGGAGCGGCGGGCACCGACCACGTTCTTATAGGCCACAGAGAGCAGGTTCCTCTCCTCATTGGACAGTTCATGCCCCTGCTCCGTGACTGCCTTCATGGCTGCGGCCATGTCATCGTAGCGCTCAGCCTGCTCGGCCAGTTTGGCTTTCTGTACCAGCTCACTTTTATCCATGGTCGTTCCCTAGAAGGACAGCAAGGACCCAGGGGAAGCAAATGTCAGAAAAGGCCCACAAAATGCATTTGGAAATCTTCCAACCCATCTGGAAAAGATATGTATCTAAACAGGAAACCTGCAACTTCCATCAATAACACTGATCATGTATCAGGTACCTCTATGGGCAGTAAGGGTTTTATATTATTTACCAAGTAAGCATTTCATATCATTTTGGCCAATTAATTTTCCCAATAGCCCTACAAGGCAAGGTATATGCACAGCATCTTCCTCTCCCTTATTCACCTACTCACTCATTGCCTTTGAGTCAGAACCGACTCACAGCTGACCCTCCAGCCAGTTTTCAGAGGCTGTAAATCACACAGGAGGAGACTGTCCATCTTCTCTCTTGGAGCTACTGACGGATTTGAAATGCCAGAGGCCCCACCTTTGGGTTAGCAGCACCCCTCTCTACAGACTCTGCTACTGGCGTCTCCTTTATTAGAGTGAGGAAATGGAGGTTCAGAGAAGCCAAGAGCACTGTCCAGATCAACGAGGCCGGCACATGACGACAGCGTTTGCTGACTGAAGCTCGCTCATTTCTGGTGAGTCCAGGTATTAAACATTCAGGAAATTAACGCACCATTGACAAATCATCACGTACAACGTAATGAAACTCTGCTTGATCTGGTATCATCGTCACAACTGCTTACTGGTCATTAATGTCCACTGATGTGACTACTGACCACTGTGTATCGGGGTACCTGCCGACCTAGGTGGCTGCTCATTTTACAGCTTCAGATCAGCTGATACTCTATTGTGATCCTGTTTTCACTGGCTAATTTTCAAGATTAAATCACACTGTTCTTCCATAGTCTGGAGCTTTACTGAAACCTGTCCACCCCGCTGGGATTTGAAATTCCAGCGACGGCTATGATCTTACAGTGGTTAGTACTCAGCATTGTGAAATTCCAGAGACGTAGCTTCCAGCATCCTAACAACACGCAAAGCACCACTGACACACAGGGACAGAGACAGCAGTGCCAGGACTCAAGCTCAAGTCCGTCTAGCTTTAACGCTGTTTCCTTCCACTACCTTTCTGTCTTTCTACACAAACAGGTAACCTAGTAACTATTTTCTTGGCATTTACACTAAATATACACCCTTCACTTCTTTCAAAAGTTGTCTGGTTTTGACCAAATATGTTTTCACGCCCGAAAAGTCCGTGTGTTTTATATATGATCAGGACTATGATGACTACTTCGATTAATCTTGAAGCAAGAGACAGAACTCTTTTTTTTCCACTTTTATGTGTTGGATTTATATGTGAAGAATATCATTCTAAAAATAAATAAGTTAGCACAATGTATCTAACTCCTACAATATTCTTGAAATCCAAGAGAATATTTTGAAAATTTTTTCCATGTACATTTGAAAACAAATATTTCAAACCAAATTTTTTACACAGCATATGATACTGTAAGAGATCTTAAAGATTAATTAGGTAAAAGAAGTTGTTGTTATCAGGTACCATCTGATGTTGTTAAGTGCAATCAAATCATAATGGGCTCCTAAGTGACCCTTCAGTGGATTTTCAGAGGTAGTAAATCATCCAGGAATTGACCGCCCACCTTTCTCCTACAGAGCAGCTGGTGGATTGGAACCACCTGCCTTTGGATTAGCAGTACAAACCCTTACCTCTTGTCCACCAGAGCTCACTTACTATTAGTCAGTGCTAACTCATCTAGTCCGTCCAAGCTGAAAGCAACCCTATATACAACAGTGTAAGCCGACTCAAACTGCTGAGCACTACTGCTGCAGCAACTATGTCAATCTATCTCATCTTATTCTTTCCCAGTAACTTTCTGCTTTATCAAGCATCAAATCCTTCTCCAAGATCAGTCCCTCCTAATAACAAGTTCCGAGAACTTGAGACAAAAAAATATGGTCTTCCTCATTTCTAATGAGGATTCTCAGTGAACATTCAAGACAGATTTTTTTTTTACTCTTTTTTTTGGCTCTGGGACTTAGTCTGTCTCCTGATTGCAACTCTGTCTCCAAAAGTCTAGTGTCCTCTTTGTTCTATAAGCTGGCTCTGGCAACCTGGTATCCTGCCTCGTTATAGCACTTTTAAAAAGTCTTTTGCCAGTCGGTAGGGTTTCTTTAAACCTCTTGGAAAAACTTTTTGAGATCCACAGGGATTTAGTCGTTAGAAGGTCCCATTCATCAATTTATCCTCTCCTGATTGTGCATTTATGGCTGTAATTGTCACCTCTATACACAAAACAGCCTGGCCCCATTTTATTTCTTATGATCTTTATGGTTTAGGGCTTTATCCCCAGGTTTCTGATCCACCTTGTGTTGATTTTAGTGTATGGTTTGACATATGGATCCTGGTTTAGCTTTCTACAGGTAGCAGTCAAATTTTGCCAGTACCATTTGTTGAAGAGGTTGTTGTTTTACCATTTGATAGATTCTGTTTCCTGTTGCACACTTGACCTCTATCTAGCCCAAGTTCTGATATTTACTATAGCTTCAATTTCCTTACTTGCCACCAACTCTTAGTAAGGTCTGCCATGGGCCTAATAAAAGCAAAGGACTTTGAAAAATTTAAGCATTATACATACATAACAGGCAATCATTTCTGTATAGGAATCAAGACTCCGAGATGCACAGCACCAGAATCTCAAACCATGACTGAGTTTGTCTAAAAGTTTTTCTAAGTCTATGTGACTGATTTTATCAAGCCTATATTGATGAGATTTCTTCACCTTATTTTTCAATTATAATACTGTCATGTGCTATCCATTATAATACAAATCCATTATGAGTCATTGTTTATAGAGTAATCTTTTGTTAACACAAATAAAAAATTATCATCTAATAATCAGTCAGTTGTATGTTTCAGTATATCTATCTGTGCCATACAGTATAAAAATAAGCTAGTATTTTAAAGTGTAAAAAGATAAAATAACCATTTTAAATAGTGGTAGGAATGGCAATGTTTCTCAAACAAACTTTTCACTCTTAGATACATGACATCACAATTTAAGACTGAAAATGTTTTTGTTGTGTACCGCTGAGTTGGAACCAACCAATAGCTAACCCTCCAGCAGGTTTTCAGAAGCAGTTTAATTGCACAGGAGGAGATTGCCCTTCCTTCTCCCACAGCGCAGCTGGTGGATTCAAACCGCGTGCCTTTGGGATTCAGTGCAGCTTCTCACCACTAGGCCACCAGAGCTCCCCAGGACTAAAAACGATTCATAATTTTAAAACTCCAACTAACAGCCACTCATAAGATGGAAATTCTACAGAGAGTGCCCTACAACATAAAAAAGTTTCCACTACATGGAGCACAATGCTAAAAGGTCTTGAAGGCATGTGGTTCGAGGCCACCAGCTGCTCTGCAAAGAAGGATGGGCAGTCTCCTCCCATGTGATTAACTGCCTCTGAAAACCCACTGGAGGGTCAGCTGTGGTCTAGGCAATTTAGAAAGAGCAGGTTATCTAGTTCAGACCATGATTTTTCCCTGTAGCATGTATGGTCTTAAAAAATAAACCTCTATGCGGTATCCTATACAAGGCTCCTAGCTCTAAGGTTACACTCAGCACAGGAGTCTCACATGACTCATCTGACATCTTCATTCACATAGCTAGATTGAGGTACAGCAGAGACAGTGATCATGAGCTGGTCCAACTGCGCTCTACATTTCCCAACAATGCTGATGTGGTTAAGAAGGCCAGAGGTAGTTCTGTCCAATAAAATTTGAGCAGAAGTGATGCTACTTCCAAATGCAAACTGTGAAAAGTCTATGTGCAATTAATTCTCCAGCCTGTCTCTTCTACAGGCTCTAATGCTGTTCTAGATGCGTGATCACAAAGCTGAGAACGTCATGTAGCCATTCCTACAGATCTACAAGGAACAGGCGACATGAGAGAGAAATGCACTTGTTGGGGAAGCTACTGAGACTTTTGGTTGGTTGTGACCACACCCAAAACTAGCGTTCTCTAATATAATACATTTAATAGGTATTCTTTATCATCTAGAGAAATGATCAAAAAGCCAGGGTATTTTCAATTGCTTCACATGCATGTTAAAGTCAGATAAGGAATAAGGAAGACCAACAAAGAACTGATGTCTCTGAATTGCCCTGACCAAGAATACGGAATATACCACAACTGTCAAAAAGAACAGCGTATCTGTCTTAGACAAAGTGCAGCTGCAGTGCTTGCAGGTGGGAATGGGGAGACTTCATTTCTCATGTGAGGCAGGAGAGGTCAGTCTCTGAAGAGCAAAACTCAATGAGCTGGATGGATGAAGTGACTACAGCAATGGGCCTGGAGACAGAGGGACTGTGAAGGTGGAGCAGTCTGTTGTCCATAGGGTTGCTAAGAGGCAGAGCTGACTCAAAGGATGCAGACAACTTCAATGACAGACTTTTCCAGTATTGACCATAAAGGCCCTGAGATCAGGGTAAGTCCAACATTAAAGAACCCCACTTCACTGCCCCTCAAAGTGTCAAGCACTGCAGAGAAAGAAACCACTTCTCAAGGACTCAGTAAACTTCAGAACATTTCCAATCTGTAAGTGTAACCAAAGTGAGTCATCATTTAGTGGCCTACTTCAAAGTTCATATAGCAGCACCTATGCAACTCTGCCTACAAACGATTCCAGTTAATAAAGGGATGGCCAAAAGCCAGTTCAGAACCACGCCAACCCATGCACAGTATCCTAATAATAGTGTAACACAAAGGATCAAAACGGCTAAAAGATGCCAAGAACCTCTTTAATGCTACCAAGACTCCACATTAAATCCTTCCTCTCTCTTTCCCAAACCTCATACCTCTCTAAAGACTCCGTGGAACCGCCCAAATGTACACAACCAATTTCCCAAGATAAGATTCAAACTTTCTGGTCCAGAGCCACTGGTTTCAACTTCTTAGATCCTTACAAGAATGCTTAGAGATGCACACTTAAAACAACAACAACAACAACGTGTACCCATAATTGGATTACTTCTTTTAATACAG